ACCTTTAGAGAGAAGTGCATCTTTACGGATTATGATTATAATGAAAGAGTTTTTGTTTTTTATTTGTTTTATTTCGTTAAATAGTAATTTAAAGCTTTCTATATATATATATTTATCATGTCTGTGAGGCATGTATTCGCTTCATGTATTCGCTGAAGTTTCGGTTCATTTTTGTTAAACGAAACGAAATATAATCACTTTGCCATTACATACAAAACTGAACTATTTTAATATAGCTGAAACAGTAGTATAAGCTGTTTTGGGAGAAGGGGGGAAAAAAGACTGGCTCGGGCCGGTAATTCTGATAAGCTGTCGGACACGGCCGGACTAGGGCCTATATTTGAGGCCCGTGCAGGGCTCTAGCCTGAACATCTTCGAGTGAGTGACGGGGCAAAGCGAAAGTTGATCCCGAAAGTCCAGCACTCTCTTACTTTCACTGCTTACTTTCACTGTCCATTCTGATGCTCAATTTTACCGAACTAATGGCTACTGATGACAAAATAATATATGAAAACAAAATTATTTTACATAACAAAAACATTATGTCTTATATTTGTATAGTACATTTTTAAATTAATGTAAAAACTAAAATGAATTGTAAAACTGAAAGTTATTTTTAAAATTGTGTTCAGCATGGTGGGCCGCATTTGAATTTGTGACGGGCCGCGGGTTGAGAACCACTGCCCTAATCCCTTCAAAGGGTTTAACCTACGGAGTGAGAGCTTTGAAGAGATGAAGGGTGTAGGGGTCAAAAAAACTCTGCGTCATCTTAAAGAGTGAGTAAATGATGACAGAATTTTTTTTTTTTTTTGGTGAACTATCCCTTTAATTTTCTGTTTTTATTTATTTTATTTTTTTTAATGAGAAACTAAAACTGCCATCAGGTGGCGGTAAATGTGTCTATGAGTCATGCATTCATTTGATTTGTTCAAATGGCTGATTCATTCAGGAAGGGCTCATCCCTATGCCCTAATCCCTTCAAAGGGTTTACCCTCCGGAGTGAGAGCTTTGAAGAGATGAAGGGTGTAGGGGTAAAAAAAACTCTGCGTCCTGGCTCTTCCAAGCTTTATAATGGCAGTGGGCGGTTGTTTCTGTTCGACAGTCCAAAAGAAGTCCAATAAAGCGCATCCATCCATAATAAAAAGTCCCTCACACGGCTCCGGGGGGTGAATCCAAGATGGTGGCGCGGTCGGACGCAGCGGCTACTCTGACTACTACTACTACTACTAACAGACACCAAAAACTGTGTTTTTATGTCTGTTAGTCTCGTTTCCTCGTCTTCTGTGTGTGTACGTCAACAAAGAGTGGTGTAACAATGCTGTGGTAGTGACAAAACACTGTTCATCGCTGGTGGAGTTTATGTTTGTGAAGTGTCGACCGTTCTATCTGCCGCGGGAGTTCACGGCCATTGTTATTGTCGCAGTTTACATCCCCCCGTGTACAAAAGCTAAGGACGCGCTTCACGAGCTGTACATTGCCATCAGCGAACAACAGATAAATAACCCCGATGGCTTTTTCATAATAGCCGGTGACTTCAACCACGCAAACTTAAAGACAGTGTTGCCAAAGTTCTACCAACATGTGAACTTTGCAACAAGGGGAAAAAACACACTGGACTTTGTTTACACAACAGAAAAGAACGCGTACAAGGCTGTACCCCGTCCCCACCTAGGGTACTCGGATCACATCTCTGTTATGCTAATTGCAGCATACAGACCACTTCTGAAACTCGCCAAACCAGTTCAAAAACTCATCACAGTTTGGCCAGATGATGCTAGCTCAACTCTACAAGACTGCTTTCAGTGCACAGACTGGAACATGGTTAAAGAGGCAGCCACCTACAACAACCACACAGACCTGCAGGAGTACACTGAAACTGTGAGTGCTTACATCAAAAAGTGCATTGATGATGTGACAGTCACCAAGACCATCACCACACGTGCATACCAAAAGCCGTGGATGACAGCAGAGGTTCGTGGGCTGCTAAAGACCAGAGATGAAGCATTCAGATCAGGAGATAAAGCAGCCCTCAAAACAGCAAGAGCCAATCTGTCCTGTGGCATCAAAAATGCAAAACGGTCGTATGCTCAAAAAAATCAACAATCACTGCACAGACAGCAGAGACACACGGGGCCTGTGGCAAGCCATTCAGACCATCACTGACTACAAGCCCACGCCACAGGCCTGTGAGAACGACACATCCCTCCCGGATACACTCAACCACTTTTATTCACGGTTTGAAATGCAGAATGACACACCTGCACAAAAACTGCCCATACCTCCCAACGACCAGGCGCTCTGTCTGTCCCCAGCTGACGTTAGGAAGACCCTATCTAGGATTAACCCACGCAAGGCTGCGGGTCCTGACGACATACCTGGCCGTGTATTGAGAGAATGTGCTGCACAGCTGACAGATGTCCTAACAGATATCTTCAACACCTCGCTGAGCCAGGCAGTCGTCCCCACATGTCTCAAATCCACAACAATCATACCGGTACCAAAGAAATCACCTGTGTCCTGTCTAAACGACTACCGTCCCATAGCACTGACTCCAATCATGATGAAGTGCTTTGAGAGATTAGTCATGCACAACATCAAAACCAGCCTCCCCAACACACTCGATCCGCTCCAGTTTGCATACCG